CATGTTATCAGAAGGGACTACTCCCTGAAAAAGGGCATTATGCTTGGTAACGTGGAGGGTTATCAAAAAAGAGGAATACCCTCAATGAGATGGATTGACACAGTGGCTGCAACAACAGGCTCAAGCATAGCAAAGATTGTGAGGATGGCACAGGAATGGGCAGTGTTTTGTTCTGTTGTGCACAGGATCACTGAGTCAGAACTGACTCAATGGCATCTAACAACAGCTGATGACATCGCCAAAGCCAAGCAAGCTGTGGTTGATATTGGTAATCAACTGCAATTAAACATCAGAGAAAATAATGTTGTAGTGACTCGACTCCCATGCTGAATTACTAACCAATAAAGACCTTATGGAACTAGAGCAGATGTGATAGCATTTGAATAAAACCAGGACATAAAAATAGTAGAACTGAAAGTTTTTGATGAAAGAGCTGAAGACTTTCATCTCATTGAAGCAGGGATGACAAAGATAGAGGAGAAAGACCCTAATATAGAGAGGTTCACCATAGTTTTCTGTAGTTTCTGAGGGCCTCAGCTGCTACAAGGCCATTTATAGCAAGAAAAAGGCAACCTCTGCACAAACCGCCTTTAATGCCTACTTGAGGAAATTGACTCCAGTAGTAACCTCTCCCAGCAACTGAATCAAACCATGACTCTCCAGCACAATTTCCATCCTCTCCCACACCAGGCCCATAATCTTCAACAGTGGACATTTCTCCATCATCAACCAATTATTAATGTTATAATGTTACCTCATGAATGCCCCTTCCAATATTCAAGACATCACTGGAGTGTTAACCTTTAATCATGATCTTTTGTTCTTTTTTTCTAACTCCACTGTTTTAAGAACTGTTTCTTTAATGTCTTTTTTACAGTCTGAACACCTATACCCTCCCCAAACTCTCACATGTGCTTTCTCTTCAGTACAGTGCCATACATACTTACATTTATCGTTTTTGTTGTTGTTAGGTGCTGTAGATTGTGTTCTGACTTGTAGTGACTCTATATACAACAGAAAACACTGCCCTTTCCTGCACCATCCTTACAGTCATTGCTGTGTTTGAGCACATTGTTGCAGCTGTGTCAATCCATCTTGTTGACGGACTTCCTTTCTTTTGATGACTCTTTACCAAGCATGACGTCCTTCTCCATGGACTGGTCCTTCCTAATAACATGTCCGAAGTATGTGAGACAAAGTCTCACCATCCTTGCTTCTAAGGAGCATTCTTGCTGTACTTCTTCCAAGACAGATTTGTTTGTTCTTCTGGCAGTTGTTGGCATATTGTTTTCTTCACTAGTACCATAATTCAAAGGCATCATTTGGACTTCCTTATTCATAGTGTAGCTTTCGGATCCATATAAGGTAACTGAAAATCCCATTGCTTGGGTTAGATGTACCTTACTCTTCAAAGGAACATCTTTCCTTTTTAACATTTTAAAGGGGTCTTTTGCAACAGATTTGCCCAATGCAATATGTTGATTTCTTGACTGCTACTTCCATGGGCGGTGTGGATCCAAGTAAAACGAAATTCTTGACAACTTCCACATGTCCTGCAACATATTCATGATCATTGGTATGTTTGGCTCCATTGTTGTGGCTATTAGGGCAATACATCTCATTCAGGGTTACCATCGTTTTTACCCCTCTACTGTACCAAACAGGATATACTTTTGTATCATCTGTATTTCTGAAAGCATGGTAAGCAATATTTTCCACCTTAATATAGAGAGAAGTAACCCAATGTAAAAAAATTATTCTATGCAAAGTGTTGGAATGCCTCTGACATTGATGGAGTAGTCAGGGCATAAAGTGTAGCACCTTCTAAGAAGGTGACTCAAGGTGTGAGGCTCAAAACACCCACCATGTAAAAATAAGCACTACTTCTACCCAAACTCCAGAGAGACGGGGCTGGAGACTGAATTAAATCATATGACCAATGATTCAATCACTCGTGCCTTTGTTAAAAAAAAGAAGTATAAAACTCTGGACACTGAAGGTCAGGTGAGCTTCCTGGTTGGTGACAGACATCTATACGTGGGGGGAGGGAGGGTATAAAGTATCCTTGAGACATGGAAGATTCCTTTTTGAGACCCTCCCAAACCTCGCCACGTCTCTTCTTTATGGTGATTCTGATTTGTATCCTTTTCGCTAAAATCTAAGTACAGAACTTCCTGAGTCATTTTAACAAATTATTGTACCCAATGAGTAGAGGCCACCCTCAAATTTCAGCCAGTTGGAAATACTGATGGCCCTGGGAGCCCCCAAACTTGTGGCGTCTGAAGTGTTGGGCAGTTGTGTATCTCTAGAGGATTATACCATTTAACTTATGAGATCAGATCTTCCTCCAGGTGCTTAGAGACAGAAGAACTGCATTTGCAGTTGATATCAAGGGACCATATAGAGTGGATATCAGAAAAAAAGCACAGGAACAGACACTTTAAGCCCACAACAGAAAGGAAAAGCAGGTTGGCAACTAAGAATGAAGAGTTGGTGCGGCACAGTTTCTTTTTTTAATGGCCTTTCTGGCCGTGATCTTGTAACACTCAAAAAATATTTGGGTAAGACTATGCAAATAAGGTGCCTGTGCCATCCCACTAAGCTTAAAAAGAGCCAAGTCCACAAGTTGAGGGTGAGGAATCACTACCATAAAGAGCCTGTGGTGGAGTGTGTAGGCTGGACCCGGGATCACTGTGCTGAGAACCTCCTAGACCCAGGAGACAGCTGTAACACTGGAGGTGGCACAAGACAGCAACGTGGGACCAGCAGCAGTGACATGGAGCCAGCAGATGGCTGTTGGTGGCTCACCAAGCCAGAGTGAAAGAGCTGAGTGCCTTGGGACAGGGGGCTTCCTGGTGGAATGGCGTGCCTCTGGGCACTCAACAGCAATGCTGAAGTTTCAACCCTTGCCCGAGTAGGCAGAGGCCAGGCCCAAGTAGGGCCACACAACAGAGACCTGCCTGCGGGCATGGCTGAGAAGTCTGACCCAAGATTTGTATTTTTAGTTGTTCCTGTTACTTCCAAGTTGATCCTGATCCCAAATTGTAACCTATTACTTCCCCCAATAAACTACATAATTTTGAGTATGGTGAGTTCTGTGTGGCCCTCACAACAAATGAAGAATCCCAGCAAAGAAGTAGTGTTGTACGAGAGACAGCTGGTGTCAGAAATTGTAAAAAAAAATTTGGGAAGTGTAGGTATGTCTGACCTCTGGATCACAAGAATCAGCTTTGGGCAAATTCTGATGTTGATTTGCTCTTCTCCTCCTCATGAACTTAGACATAGTCTGATGTCACACCATTTTAAATTTTTGTTGTTAGGAGCTTAGAAACTCATGGAAAACCAACATAATACAAACCCGTGTTTTAGCATTCTCGTTATCTACTTTTTGCTTCTGCTACATTATCGCTTTTGCTTGCTCTTCGATAATAGGCCTTATATTTCTCCTTGGTCAGTTCCCAGTGTGTGGAGGACATCAGAGGAAGAAGGGCTTCCCTTTCAGGTTCCAGTGTGGTCACTTCCCAGGCTCCCAGTGGGGACCCTTTTGTACCCAATTTATTCCATGTGGGTTCTCCAGTGCTGACCTACTGCATGATGCACCATTTAGACGTTACAAGTTTTCTCCAACTCAGTTTGGGCAATGGTGACATAGCCTGGAAACTCATACACTTGGGATTGTGGCCAAATCTAGATGAAACAGTCCACACCCTCTCAGCAAATATGGGGCTGCCTATCAGGTGAGTTGCCCCCGCCAACTTAATTCCCTAAAGCCAATAGCACATGAAAGTGTGCTAAATTACTCCCAAAATAGCCTCTACAGATCCCAGCAACAACTGGAATTATACACATATAAAATGGCGCAGCCCCTTTGAAAAACTGGTTTGTATAAATGTAAACATAAAACTATCATATGACATAGCAATCTTCACTCATAGGGATATATGCAAAAATAAAAATAAAATTTATGTTCACATAACCTGTGCATAGATGTTTTTAGTAGTTTTATTCACAAAAAGGAAACACAAATATCCTTTCACTGGTATATGCACAAAGTGAGATATGTGTATACAATACTATATGACAATAAAAAGGAACAAACTATCAATACATCCATCAACATACGTAAATCTCAAATTCATTATGGTAAATGAAAGAAGCCCGAATTTAAAAGCTACACATTAAATAACTAGTATACGGACAGTTGTTAAGAATTCAAATTGAGGGGAAGGTTTGACTAAAAAGGGGTAGGACTATGGAATACTTGGAGGTAAAAGCTGTTCTGTGCTTTCCTTGTGGCACTGATTATTTGAACTGATGTTTATTAAAACTCATATTACTGTATGTTCCAAAAGTAAATTATCATTTTTAAATTTAAAAAATAATGCAACTTATGTAAAATGTTCGGTACAACACTGCACATACAATAACAATCAGAATCTTTTAGAAAATGCTACTTTTCATACAAAAAAGGCTAAAAAAAATACCCAAACTAACAACTGTGGTGGGAATTTAAATTATTTATGGATTTTCCTCATGATTTACTGTTAAAATCAAATATTCTATGAGAACGTATTGCATTAGAATGTGAAGTACAAAAACTTTAAAAACACACCTGTTAAACATAAAACACGTCTCAAGATATCGATAGGTTAATGACATTTTGTAGTAAAGAAAATTTGAATATAACAAAAACTAAATGACATTTTAATACTTATTTAAAGCCATGTGCTACAACTGAAAAGGTGCTTTGGCTTCAAATACAGTCTCTGTGATGTCTCATAGGGGTCCTAAGAATGGACAATGAGGGTTTCCCTTGTCTTTTACATTCATAGGGTCAATCCACAGTGTAATAAATTACATTTTGTAAGAATTCCGGACACTCGTAGATGTTTCCATGTTCCTTACATATATGTGACTTACCTCAAATGTGATACATCACGTATTTAATAGAAGTATAGTTAAGGCTTTCCCATATGTGTGAATCTTCACAATCTTGGATAGTATGAGGGGCATAACAAAACCTTTCCCATAAAGCTTTTTTTACATTACTTGGTTTCTATCCCATGTATTTTTTGTTTTTAAAAAAGATAAGGGATGACTGAAGCTTTCCAACACTACTTACACATGTATTTTCTTTCTGGTAAGCCTTCCACATGTCTCCAAAAGGCTGAAAGAGAACTGAAGAGTTTCTCTCATTCCTTACGTACATGAAGTCTCTCTCCAGTGTGAGTTCTTATATGTTTAGAAAGGCATGAAAAATAAGACTTCTTCACAATCTTTACATTCATATCTCTCCACCATGACTTTTGTGTTCCTCGAGATAAGAAGGAATAGCAAAGGCTTTTTGCACATTCTCTTAATCAAAAGGCCTCACTCCACTGTGAATTCTTGTATGTGTTGTGAGGTGTGACGACTGCCTAAAGGTTCTCCCACATTCCTTACATACATAAGGTCTCTCTCCAGTGTGAGCTCTTTTATGTACAGTAAGATGTGAGGAGTGGCAAGGCTTTTCCACATTCCTTACATTCATAAAGCTTGTCTCCACTGTGAGTTCTTACATGGCCAGAGAGGGTTGAGGACTAAAGGCTTTCCCATATTCCTAACATTCATAAGGCCTCTCTCCACTGTGACTTCTCATATGCCTAGTGAGCTGTGAGGAACGACTAAAGGCTTTCTCACATTGCTTACATACATAAGGTCTATCTCCAGTGTGAGCTCTTTTATGTATAGTGAGATATGAGGAATGATTAAAAGCTTTTCCACATTCCTTACATTCATAAGGCCTCTCTCCACTGTGAGTTCTTATATGGCCAGAGAGGGTTGAGGACTGACTAAAGGCTTTCCCACATTCCTTACATTCATAAGGCCTCTCTCCATTGTGAGTTCTCATATGCCTAGTGAGCTGTGAGAAACAACTAAAGGCTTTCCCACACTGAATACATTCATAGGGCCTCTCTCCACTGTGAGTTCGTACATGTGCAGTCAGGCGTGAGAAACAAGTAAAGGCTTTCCCACATTCCTTACATGCAAAAGGCCTCTCTCCAGTGTGAGTTCTTATATGATAAGAGAGAGTTGAGGACCGACTATATGATTTCCCACATTCATTACATACATAAGGCCTCTCTCCACTGTGAGTTCTCATATGTCTAGTGAGGTATGGGAGGCAACCAAAGACTTTCCCACATTCCTTACATTCATAAGGCCTCTCTCCACTGTGTGTTCTTTCATGTTGAGTGAGGTGTGAGGACCGACTAAAGGCTTTCCCACATTCTTTACATTCGTAAGGCCTCTCTCCACTGTGTGTTCTTCTATGTTGAATTAGGGATGAGGCCTGCTTAAATGCTTTCCCACATTCCTTACATTCATAAGGCCTCTGTCCACTGTGAATCTTTATATGGTTACAGAGGAATGAGGAACGACTAAAGGCTTTCCCACATGCCTTACATTCATAAGGCCTCTCTCCACTGTGAGTTCTCATGTGTATAGTGAGGTTTGAAGAATGTCTAAAGGCTTTCCCACATTCCTTACATTCGTAAGGCCTCTCTCTACTGTGTGTTCTTATATGGATAGTGAGGCTTGAAGAAAAACTAAAGGCTTTGCCACATTCCTTACATACATAAGGCCTCTCTCCACTGTGAGTTCTCATATGGGTAATGAGGTCTGAGGATTGACTAAAAGCTTTACTACATTCCTTGCATTCATAAGGCCTCTCTCTACTGTGAGTTCTTATATGTTTAGTTAGCGATGAGGAACAACAGGGCTCCCCACAATCCTTACAAAGTTTCTCTCCAGTAAGTGTTCTCAAATAAGGTTTTATGAAAGAAGGCCAACTGCAGGCTTCTTCACATCCCTTACAATAATAAGCTTTGTATCCAGTGTGAGAGCTGATGTGATGCTTAAATGTATGATCCTTGAAGGCTTTTCCACACTCAGAACATTCAGAAGCATTTACTCCAGCAGTTCTTTTGAGCCTAGTAAGATTTTCAATCTGGCTGAAAGTTTTTCCACACTGATTACCTTCTTTATATTTCGTTACTTTATCTTGTTTACTTGCTCCGAGGCTCTCTAACATATATTTTCTGTTGAAAACAGGGAGTATGTTGTTAGAATTAATTTTTTCTTTACCACTTCATAATTAGCATACACTGAATATGCATTTTCTGCCCGGCATTGTCTCATGTTGCATAGGTTCAACCATCTCAGAATGTTACTATTACTTTCAGTTTATAAATAATGGGGCTTTATGATAATTGTATACAGGTAAAACATGCCTCAAATACTCAATATCTGATAGACATTTATGGAAATATTGTGAAAATAAGGTGAACTCATAATTTTAAAGTTCTACACACACATCTACACGCACAAAAATGTCTTGACACATTAAGACTGTCTCCTAAGGCATTGCTTACTGTCACATGTATGATACCTGAAACGCCTTTCCTGGTTTTTGTGCTGATTTTCATAGTCAAGGAATTCACAGATTTCTCCTACCACAGGCGAGCAGGAATCATTCTCCATGAATCGCACTATTATGTGTTCAATGGATAACTTTTGTCCATTATTATCCTGATGAGAAACTGACACAATAATTTTAAGTGGTTTCGTAGTTCATAATATGAAACAAAACAGTAAGAAAATATTATGAGGAACAAGGCACCTGTGAGGAAAGAAAGACTGCAGCAGCTGGCTCTTCCAAGATTTTGATAAAGGTCGAAAGAGTAAGAAATTTACTAGGAAATAATTCCATGATGATTGAGAGTGATGGTGGGGGTCATGGATTAAATTATGTTCCCCCAAAAATGTGTGTATCAGTTTGGCTACGCCATGAGTCCCAGTATTGTGTGGTTGCCGTCAATTTTATAATAGTAATTTTATATTAAAGAGGCTTTGGGTGGGATTGCAACTCCACCCTTACCCAGGTCACATCCTGATCGAATGTAAAGTGAGTTTCCCTCGGGTGTGGCCTGCACCACCTTTTTATCTCTCAAGAGATGAAAGGGAAGCAAGCTGAGTTGGGGACCTCATACCACCAAGAAAGCAGTACCAGGAGAAGAGCGCATCCTTTGAACCCAGGGTCCCTGCGCGGAGAAACTCCCAGTCAGGGGAAAGACTGATGATGAGAAGGCCGATGGAGACAGAAAGACTTCCCCTGGAGCTGACACCCTGAATTTGGACTTTTAGCCTACTTTTCTGTGAGGAAATAAACTTGTCTGTTAAAGCCATCCACTTGTTATTTCTGTTATAGCAGCACTAGAAGACAAAGACAGTGAGTAGAAACCAAGCCAAACACCACTGGCGTTGAGTCAATTTTGACTCACAGCAATCTTATAGGATACAGTAGCTGCCCCATAGGGTTTCCAAGGCTGTAATTACTATGGAAGCAGACTGCCACATCTTTCTCCTGTGGAGAAGCTCATAGGTTTGAACTGCAACTTCTCAGGAGCCAAAAGCCTTAACCACTGTGCCATCAGGTCTCCTGTTAGTGACTAAACTAGGGTGATATTAGGACAACAAAACAAAAAGGTTTTGCAAACAATGGAAGTGTGTAACGGTAATTTTAAAAGAGGAAATGAGGAAGGTCTTTTCCCGGAAACACAGAAGACATAAGAGGATTGATGAAAAATAAAAAAAGTGAGCTCACATATGTGTGGAAGTTCAGCCCCTTCAAAGCAAAAGAGACTTTTTTGAGTTGATTTCTTCTAATGTAATGCCACCCAGTAGGGCTGTTCCTTCAAAGTATTCTTGCCTTCCTTTGCTCCCAGGCACGTTGGGGGTCAAATAAGTCCTATCTCCACTCTCATATCTTTCTCTTGCTTCAAAGAAAAAATACGGTGGCTGATATGCTGCTAATCAGGAAAGATCATTAGGGCAGACAGAGGGGCAAATTGTGCCAATGCTTCCGTCTCTAGGGTCTCTAGAAATAAGACAGTTGTGGTTTTATTCGCAGAAAAATAATCATGTCAAATGGTAATATACACAGTAAAACTCTAAAGAGGTCCAACACAGAAAAATAATCGTATCAAATTGGTTACATAGTAAAACTTTAACATGGTATTAATGCACAAATCTTTCATTGCCCCAAAACTGACCACTGCAGCTAATGCTCACGCTTAAGCACTTACAGAGTATCAAGATTTTAACCACCAGAGAAAAAAGAGAAGTTTAATACATAAGATTTTTACTTTTATGGGGAAACTGCTAGAATCTAAGCTCCAAGAGGGCAGTGAAAACGTCTGTTTGCCAATATATTCCTATTCCTCAATCCAAATTCTATAAGGTCAAAGAGAATAATATATTTATCTTAAAGAACTAAATAAGAATAATGAATCCATTCTTACCTGAATCCAGGTTCCTGAAGGTTTCCACCATTACATCTTTGTAGAGTTTCCTCTGAGAAAAATCCAACAAAGCCCACTCTTCCTGAGTAAAGTCCATGGCCACATCTTCGAATACCACTGAGTCCTAAAACATCATATATATTCTGGATAAGCAAGGTACCACATTCTCCAATGTGTGCAAAAGGATGGGTGAGGCAGACAGTTCTCAGGAACCAAGAATTTATAGAGATCTCACATCATTTGGTGTTCCCTTCAGAGTTTGAACATTAGGCTCATCCCTTTACTGTTTGCATTTATCTCCTAACAGTATCTTATTTCATAGATTTAACAATATTTCTAACACACTGAGCTTATCTCTCCAGTTTGATCAATTCCAGTCTTATTCATATCTATACTTATGATACAGAACAGCTAGAACGCATAGCAGAAGGGAAAGAAATCCTAGGCCAATGAAATATCTATTTCCACATTTAGGTCATTTCCTTGTGGAAAAAAAATCACCCCCTTCTGTAAGACCTATCAGAACACTCAACAAATGAAGCAAAGGGTGCAAGCAGATTGAGATACCCAGTCCTGCATCATGCCCACAATCACTGTTATGCTTGAGCCCATTGTTGCAGCCACTATATGAATCCATCTCACTGAGGGTCTTCCTCTTTTTCACTGACCCTGTACTTTACTAAGCATGATGTACTTCTCCAGGGACTGATCCTTCCTAACAACATGGCCAAAGTATGTAAGATATAGTCTTTCCCATCCTTGCTACTAAGGAGCATTCTAGTTGTACTTTTTCCAAGACAGATTTGTTCGTTCTCTTGGCAGTCTATGGTATATTCAACATTCTTTGCTAACACAATTTGAAGACGTCAATTCTTCAGTCTCCTTACTGTCCAGCTTTTGCGTGAATATGACGTAACTGAAAATACTATCGTTTGGGTCAAGCACACCTTAGTCTTCAAGGTGACATCTTTGCTTTTCAACACTTTAGAGGTCTTTTGCAGCAGATTTGCCCAATGTCATGCATCTTGTGATTTCTTGACTGCTGCCTCCATGGGTGATGATTGTAGATCCAAGTAAAGTGAAATCCTTGACAAGTTCATTCTTTTTTCCATTTATCATGATGTTGCTTATTGGTCCAGTCGTGAGGATTTTTGCTTTCTTACGTTGAGGTGTAATCCATACTGAAGGCTGTGATCTTTGATTTTCATCAGTAAGTGCTTCCAGTCCTCTTCACTTTCAGCAAACAAGTTTGTATCATCTGCATAACACAGGTTGTTAATGAGTCTTTCTCCAATCCTGATGCCCCGTTCTTCTTTATAGACTCCAGCTTCTCAGATTATCTGCTCAGCATATAGACTGAATAGATATGGTGAAAGGATACAACCCTGATGAACACCTTTCCTGACTTTACACCATGCAGTATCCCTTTTGTTCTGTCTGAACAACTGTCTCTTAAATTATGTACAGGTTCTTCATGAGCGTAATGAATTATTCTGGAATTCCTATCCTTCACAGTGTTATCCATAATTTGTTGTGATCCACATAGTGGAGTGCCTTTACATAGTCAATAAAACACACGTAAACATCTTTCTGGTATTTTCTGCTTTAAGCCAGGATCCATCTGACATCAGCAATGATATCCCTGGTTGCACATCCTCTTATGAAGTCGGCCTGAATTTCTGGCAGTTCTGTCGATATACTGCCGCGGCCGCTTTTGAATGATCTTCAGCAAAATTTTACTTGTGTGTGATATTGATATTGTTCGATAATTTCTGCATTCAGTTTGATCACCTTTCTTGGGAATAGACATAAATATGGATCTTCTCCAGTTGGTTGGCCAGGTAGCTGTCGTCCAGATTTCTTGGCACAGGTGAGTGAGCACTTCCAGCGCTGCATCCATTTGCTGGAATATCTCAATTGATATTCCATCAATTCCTGGAGCATTGTTTCTTGCCAATTCCTTCAGTGCAGCTTGGACTTCTTCCTTCAGTACCATTGGTTCCTGATCATATGCTACTTCCTGAAATGGTTAAATGTCAACCAATTCTTTTTGGTATAATGACTCTGTGTATTCCTTCCATCTTCTTTTGATGCTTCCTGCATCATTTAATATTTTCCCCATAGAATCCTTCACTGTTGCAATTCGAGGCTTGAATTTTTTCTTCAGTTCTTTCAGCTTGAGAAATGCAGAGCGTGTTATTTCCTTTTGGTTTTCTATCTCCAGCTCTTTGCACAAGTCATTATAATAATCTGGTTTGTCTTCTCGAGCCACTCTTTGAAATCTTCTGTTCACCTCTTTTACTTCATTTTTTTCCCTTTGCTTTAGCTACTCGATGTTGAAGAGCAAGTTTCAGAGTCTCTTCTGACATTCATTTTGGTGTTTTCTTTCCTGTCTTTTTAATCACCTTTTATTTTCTTCATTCATGATATGCTTGATGTCATCCCACAACTCATCTGGTCTTTGGTCATTAGCGTCAATGAGTCAAATCTATTCTTGCGATGGTCTCTAAATTCAGATGGGATATACTCAAGGTCGTACTTTGGCTCTCATGAAATTCTTCTAATTTTCTTCAGGTTTAACTTGAACTTACATATGAGCAATTGATGGGCTGTTCCACAGTCGGCCTCTGGCCTTGTTCTGATGATGATACTGAGCTTTTGTATCGTTTCTTTCCACAGATGTAGTCACTTTCATTCCCATATTTCATGTGTATAGTTGCCCTTCATGTTGTTGAAGAAAGCTATTTATAATGAAAAAATCTTTGTCTTGCAAAATTCAATCATGCAATCTCTGGTATCGTTTGTATCTCTAAGGCCATATTTTCCAACTACAAATCCTCGTTTCCCGCTTTTACATTCTAATCATCAGTAATTATCAACGCGTTCTGATTACATGTTTGATCAATTTCAGATTGCAGAAGTTGGTAGAAATCTTCAATTTCTTCATTTTTGGCTTTAGTGCTTATTGTGTAAATTTGAGTAACAGTTGTATTAACTGGTCTTCCCTGTAGGTGTATCCACCACTAGCAGAGCTGTACTTGAGGATAGATCTTGAAATGTTCTTTTTGACAATGAATGCAACACCATTCCTCTTCAAGTTGTCATTCTTGGCATAGTAGAACATATGAATGTCTGATTCAAAATTCCAATACCAGTCCATTTCAGCTCACTAATGCCTAGGATATTGATGTTTACGCATTCCATTTCATTTTTGACGATTTCCAATTTTCCTAGATTCATAATTCCTACTTTCCACTTTCTGATTATTAATGGATGTTTGCAGATATTCTCGTTTTGAGTCATGCCACATCAGCAAATGATGGTCCAAAAGCTTGACTCCATCCACTTCATTGACTACTTTGAGGAGGTAGCTCTTCTCCAGTCATATCTGAGTGACTTCCAACCTTGGGGGCTCATCTGCACTATATCAGACAATGTTCCACTGCTGTTCATAAGGTTTTCAGAAGTAGACTATGGGTCCTTCTTCCTAGTCTGTCAGTCTGAAGCTCAGCTGAAACCTGTGCAACATGAGTGACCCTGCTATCTGAATACCGGTGGCATAGCTTCCAGCATCACAGCAACACACAAGCCCCCAGAGTACAATAAACTGATGTGGGGGGACAAGAAATTAATAACTGGGAATCACTAAAGGACTTACAGCTTTTCACTTTGTACTAACAAAGCAAGCTTGACAATCAGATTCACATACGGAAGTGATTTTGGAATTATTACACTGGAAGTGTAAACTATTATTCATATGATAAAGCTGCAATGGAAAATGTGCACCACATGCAATAACCAGATGAGTAATGTCAGCAGAGAGATGGAAACTGTTAATAAAAATCAAAAGAAAATCCTAGAAATCAAAAGCAATAAAATGAGGTATGTTTTTAATGACATCAGCAATAGATTGAACATGGCTAAGGGAATAGCTTAAAAATAGGTCGAGGGACATCCAAAACGGAAATGCGGAGAGAAAAAATGAAAAAAAGGGAGGAGGAGAATATCCAAGAACTGTGAAACAAAAGGTATAACATGTAATGAGAATACCAGAAGTAGAAGAGAAAAACTAAAAATTTGAATAAATGACTGATAATTTTACAAAATTAATGATAGATACCAAACCATAGAAATGAGTTCAGACATCAATGAACAGGATAAATGCAAAAATCTATACACTATCATATTTGAACTACGTAAAATCAAAGAAACTATATACTGAAAGATGCCAGAGGAGAAAACACACCTCACCTACACAGCAGCAAGATTACAAAGTACAGTAGACTGGCCTTCAGAAGCCACAGAATCAAGAAGATAGTAAAATAATGACCAAAAAAACAAAAACAAAAAACCACCAAAATGGAATTCTGCATACAGCAAGATTTTCCTGTAAAACTATAGACATTCTCAGACAAACCTATTTTGAAGGAATTTCTTGCCAGTATATATGTCTAGCAAGATACGTTAAAGGAAATTCTTCATAGAAGAGAAGGAAGCTGATACAGGTAAGAAACTCCAATGTATAAAAAAGGGAAGAACGTTAACAAGAAAATAAAATTTTATCTTTTTTATTCTTAATTATCCTGAAGTACAACACTGTCAATGAAAGGATAATATCCATACGCCAACAACGAAGACCAGTTAATGCAACTATTACTCAAATTTACGCACCAACTACTGAGGCCAAAAATGAAGAAATTGAAAATTTTTACCCACTTAGGCAGTCTGAAATTGATCAAATATGCAATCAAGATACATTGATAATTATTGGTGATGAGAATGTGAAAGTTGAAAACAAAGAAGGATTGGTCGTTGGAAAATATGGCCTTGGTGACAGAAGCAATGCCAGAGATCGCATGATAGAATATTGTAAGACCAACAACTTCTTCAATGTAATACCTTTTCTCAACAACATAAACAGCAACTATACACGTGGACCTCACTGGATGGAATATAAAGGAATCAAATCAACTACATCTGTGGAAAGAGACAATGGAAAAACCCAATATCATCAGTCAGAACAAGGCCAGACATCAATTGCTCCTATGCAAGTTCAAGTTGAAGAAAATTAGAACAATTTCGTGAGAGGTAAAGTACAACCTTGAGTACATTCCATCTGAATTT